GTGGTACGAAATTTTTTCTTTTGTATAATACTCCAAGATTTCTCATTCTTTTACAAAGAATATTAATATAAGATCTGCTTTTTATCGTATTAAAATTTCATTAAAATTTAAACGTTTTCTTCTATTTTCAAAGATATTTCGTATTGTTACAAATAATTATGGTATAAGTTCAACGTTTTCTAATCTTGATATTAAATTTCCGGCTCAAAAAGTTTCTCCATTTAACCTTAGAGGAGAGGAGACTCTTGAGTTTAACCTATGATTCCTTTTCGCCATAATAAACGACTCTAAATTGTATGTATTAATATACAAAAATTCTCATAGCTTGACCAAATTTCTAGCCAAAATGAAACGATTTGCTCCCCGGCTTTGTTCCACCCAAAAAACCATCCTCTAGGGAATTAATCACAAACTCCTTTACGCCGGTCACGCACGCACAACCAAAGCTAACAAAATGTTGAACCCGAGAGCCCCCAGCACTTTCCGCCCATTCAATAGGGGATGCCTTTGTCCCCAATTAGGGCAGCCTATCAGCAACCCTGCAGTCCGAAATGGGGGGCAGGCAGCCTTCTGTGGGGGTGCTGTGCAGTCGTTAACCGTAAAAGCAGATCCCCAAAAAGCCAAAGAAAAAATCCTCCGCCACTCCACTCCACTCCGCTCTCTCTCACTCTCACTCTCTCTCCCTCTCTAAGCTTTCATGTTACGCATAATTGAAACGAAGTTCCCCATTCAGTGAGCAAAACTTCCATGCAACGTGTGGAAAACAATCCACCACCAAAAAAAAAAAAGAACACTAGGGGGGGACATTGGACCGTGGACTGGGGGTGTGTGTGTGGCATTGTCGTTTGGGCATTATGCCCCACAAAGCATGTCAATGTCATGAATATTATTGACATGGATTTTTATCCACAGATAGCTCTCTCATAGACAGACAGACAGACCTGGATGGAGGATGGAGGAGGGAGGCGATGATGTACTCTTTTTTTAGGGGGCGCATTTCCGCAGAACGAACAAACCAACAAAAAAGAACTGTGAAGGTCAACCCCTTTTTGGCCAAAGCTTTGAGCGGAGCATGCGAGAAGAAGAGAAAGAGAGCGAGGGAGTTTTTCTGTTTCTGTTTCTGTTTCTGTATCGTTGAAGTTTGCTTTCGATGGCCTGTCAAAGTCAAAAGGCTGATAAAAATCGATAAACGACAGACAGCAAAGTCGGAGTCATGTACAAACTACACTGGAATGGGAGGCCCAACCCGGTTGGTGTCGGTCTGGTCTTTCTGTCTATAGAGCGAGTTCTCGGTCATCAGACTCTTGGCCTGAACCGAACTCGGCGCTCGCTTGTGCCTGCCTCTGTGGTATGCCGTTTTTGGTTTATTTCAGGGGCTTGTCAAATTGCAAAACGGCAACAATGCAACTCGAAATATCTCTTGGTATGCAGTTCTTGTCGTAATATGTCATGGCTCGCCCCCCCCCAACCCCACGTAATGCGATAGGCGGCGCTACAAGAAGTCTCAGAGTGGCTCAGGTGAAGTGTGGGGAGGAATGGGAGTGGGAATGGGGGAATGCTAATTGCCAGGCACCAGAAAAGAACATAATACCATTAAGTAAGCGTAATTAGATCATGGCTATGCAAATGCAATGCCTGGAAGGTACACTGATCTCATACTTGGCTTGACCAAACGATAAGCGGCAGCCAGGTTTCATGTAAATTTAAGTGGGAGTGTTGCAAACATCTAGATAGTGTTGGGCAGTCAATGGAGTTGGTGTTGGTCAGCTGGAAATAGTAGAGGGTTTTAGAGATCTGAAAAGAGTTAGAGTTAGCTGAGAGATAACATGCGCTGGGGACATTTCTATGCTTCAACTGAAAGGAAATATTAAATGTCAAAAGGCTAAGAGATGTTAATCATCATCCAAGAGGGTCCCTGGGTCTGTCATTTTACATAAATTTTGTGCCACAAAATGTGGTACTCCCAGGGGAACTTCATTGTACGCCCCATTGTACGGATTTCATTTTGTACATTTGAAGCTGTGGCCCCCAGCCAAGGCCAAACCCAACGACATCGTCGTCCATTCAATTTGCATTCCATCAGCCATGGGACCGTTACCCCCACAGATACCACCACACAAACACACTCATGCACGTGGGGATGCATACGTCGACGTACTCCAAGTACAATAACACTTCCGCCTGAAAGTACTCGTACTCCAATACGGACATCTGTGTGTGTGTGTGTGTGTGGGGGTACAGTTCTATCCAGACAAAAACCAGAAACAGAACACAAGAGAGAAGAGCGAAGAGAGGAGCAGCAGAGTTAAAGCGGAAAAGGCATCATCAAAAATCGCTTGGCTGCATTTGTTGTCGGCCCTTGAGTTGGTTGCCCTTCCCCCCCACTCCACAGTCACGTTCCCCTCCTTCGTATTTTACCCAAAAAGAAAAAAATTAAATATCAGCAGAAAAAATATAAAAAAAGAATCCAAATGCTGACCACCACTCTGCCTGCTCTCTCTCAAGCACACGCTCCGTCTCTCACCCACACAACTGCAGCTGAGAACGATACTTGATTTGAGTGGGACAGAGAGGAGAGAGAGAGAGAGAGAGAGAGTAAGCGAGTGAGCGAGCGGCTCTTTAATATAAAACAGTTTTTGTTTATTTTCTTTTCTGCTAAATTCTCTCGGTGCTTCTCTCTCCCTCTCTCTCCATCCTGCCTATGATAGTTTCTGTTCTTCTTTCTTAACCCAAAAAAAAAGAACAAAAAAGCAGAATGAGGGATTAGCAGCGCACTTTTAATACCCTAACTAAATGATATCCCAGAAGCAGACGAGACTAATTCAAAGTTATATTATATATTCTTACACCTTATAAGGGATCGAAGAGACTTGCTTTGCTGCACCTCCAAATTAATGTCAGAACCATCATACCTTCTGAAAGTGTGTAAAAAGAAAACAAAAAAAAAAAAACTGACGCATGCTTTACACGCTCTCCTCTCTTCGGCTTGTCTCCCCCGCGGCGTTCGACTGCCCTGCCTGTCCGCGCATGTGTTGCGTCTTTGTGTATGCCTATGGGAGTGTGTGTGAGTGAGTGAGTGTGTGCGCTGCCTTCGTCGTCTTCTTCGTGGTTTTGCTTCGTCGTCGTCGTCGTCGCCGTCGCCTCCGACGCTGTAGCTGTCGTGGTTGTTGTTGTATGCAAGGTCGTTTGCGTACAAATTTCAACATTATTTGAAGGTCGTCCTTTGCCCGTTCTGCGCGTCGCTTCTTACTCGTTCTTTCTCTCACCATTTCCGTCTCTCACTCTCTCGCCGCTCTCTCCCTCTCTCTCTCTTTCTGTCTTCGCTGTCTGTTTCTTTGCATGCAATTGTCTTGGCTAAACAAAGAATTTTGTTTCCCCCCATTTAGGGGTCGTGCGGGTTCGTTCTTGTCGGATTCTGTAATTTCCTTAAATTATTGATTCTTTCGCAATTGGATAAATCAATTTCAGTGGTAATTATACACATCTTAAAAGGTTTTTAGTTAGGGATGGGCGTAATGTTCTTTAAGGGCGGGAATATTGTAAAAACGTTTTATAAATGTTTGAAGTGCACAAAAAAGCAGACTTCTTATCAGGAATCTGTTATATGCATTGGGATACGCAGGACTTTTTAAAATTTTGAATTTTAATTTTGTTATTTTAAATAAAAGATTTTTGCAGATAGATTTGACAGAAATTTTACGTTTTAGCCAATGTCAATGGAAGCATTTAAGAAATTCCTTTCCATATAGGGACATTTTCCCCCTCGGCTACACCCCTGCATTTAGTACCCGCACCCGCACACCCTTTGTTACCAGGTGTGGCCTCGCCCTTGGCCCTGTGTTGTGTGCCATGCCATAGAAATGCTGCGTGCCGTCGTTGGGTTAATGTACCTTAAATTTATTATAATTCCATCGGCTTTTGCGCCTCTCCCCAGTTCCCACTCTCTCCACTTCGCTATCCATCGCCCTCCTCCTCCTCCTCCCATTGTTGGGTCGTTGACATTTTTCGTTGGGCTGCTGGCCATTGCCCATTGCCCATAGTTGTGTACTGCTTAAGCTATTGTTCAAGTGGGAGACCCAAACAAGAGAGCGAAACGACAGGCCACAGATGGAGGAGAGAGAGAGAGAGAGTGAGTAGGTAGAGCTGCTGATAAGAATTGAATGAACATAATACACGCACCAGCGAGAGGGAGAGCGCGCATAGCGGGTGTGTGGATGTGTGTTCGTGTGCTCTGCCACGGCATAACCTCAATTAACATAAGTGGCCGCCTCGTTCGTTGGATGCTCTCGGGGCTGGCTCCGGCCAAGGTCGCTTCAGGGTGGGTGGATGTGGATATGGATGGATAAGTGGTAGCATTGACCCTATTGTTGTCGTCGGGGTTTATTCAGATCCTAAATAAGTAGCGGTTCTCTGTCTTTTGTGCCTGTTGCCAAGCAAATCTCCAGCAGAGCAGGGGCGGCAGTACCCATTAATGACTCATTGCCAAAAGGTTGAAGAACCTTTTATTTAATTAACATACATAAATGGGGAATTTGCCAAAACTATGAGGTACACTATTAAAATTTAAATTTGAACAATGCTTGGGAATGGATATGGTATCTAGGAGCCGGTGGAACTGTGGATATTTATACTTAACTTAATTGTTTCAACATTATTTTAGTTAGTTTGTTTTTTTTAGTCTTTATTTCTTTGAATTCAAAATTTTTTAAGATAATGTCTCATAAGAGGGTTTCCATACCCGATATAGATATCATTTATTCTGTATTCGATATAGATATAATTTTTTTTAAATAAAAAATTAATTAATTTAAAGCATTAATAAATTACTTCCTAAAAAAAAAAGTTTTTATTTAAATAAATCTCTTATAAATTTGTTTATTAAGAATGAATTTATTTATTTTTTTATATTTATAATTTTAAATATTATCTACAGAATTAAATTAACATAAGCCGCATAATAATCATAATTCTCTCTCTCTCGCTCTTTTAAATCTTTTCAGTTTTACAACACAATGGAACTGCATCAACGACATCTCTCCAATTTTTACAAATTGCACAATTGAGAAACAAAAGTCTTTTTGATACTATATAGAATATTTTGATAGGGAAGAAAGGAAGGAAACGGAAAAGCCCCTGCCCTTGCAAGTCCATTCAAAGTGGATGCCCTGATAAGTGCAGCAAAAGGTGACAGCAGCAGCAGCAGCAGCAGCAGCAGAAGCAGCAGCAGCCATGCCGAATATGTCTAGCATTAAGGCTGAGCAGCAGAGTGCCCCAATGGGGGGCACGAGTAGCTATCAACTGCCCGTGAATATGTGCACCAGCAGCAGCAGCAGCACCACCACGACGACGTCGATGCCATCACGTCACAATGTGTCCGTGACGAATATTAAATGTGAACTGGAGGAGCTGCCCACGCCGAATGGCAATCTGGTGCCGGTCATCGCCAACTATAATCATGGCAGCCTAAGGATACCGCTCAGTGGGCAGCCGCACAACCAGCAGGAGGAGGAGGAGTCCGACTCCGAGGCGGAACTCACGAATATCGAGAACCTGAAGGTGCGCCGGCGAGCGGCGGATAAGAACGGACCACGGCCCATGTCCTGGGAGGGAGAACTGAGTGAACCCGAGGAGAACGGCGTCAGTGGCAGCGGTGGCATCGGCGGGGCAGAGCTGATGGAAACGGAGACGGTGATCAAGAGTGAGGTGTGCACCACAACGTCCACGCCCATTCAGGCGTCGTCCACCACCTGCCCCACGATGCAACCGATCAAAACGGAGCTGGAGAACATTGCCGGAGAGCTGCAGCATCCGCGCAGCAACGCCTATCCGGTGTCCAGCTGCAATGGTCCCGCCAAACTGAAGCTGGCGCCCACCCAGAGCGATCCGATCAATCTCAAGTATGAGCCCCCGCTGGGGGACAACAACTCGCCGCTGCTGACGACGCGCAACAAGTCGAACAGCGGGGGACACCTGCCGCTGCCAGCGAACCCCAGTCCCGACTCTGCCATACATTCCGTCTACACCCACAGCTCACCGTCGCAGTCGCCGCTGACGTCGCGGCATGCCCCATACACGCCGTCGCTGAGTCGCAACAACAGCGATGCCTCGCACAGCAGCTGCTACAGCTACAGCTCGGAGTTCAGTCCGACACACTCGCCGATTCAGGCGCGGCATGCCCCACCAGCGGGAGCCATGTATCCGGGCAGCGGCTCCGCGGGCGTAAACGGAGCAGGCAGCAGCTACGGGAATGGTGTGCATCATCACGGGATGCTGTACAGGCCGCTCAAGGTGGAGGCCTCCCCAACGGTCGGATCGGTTGGCGGTGGCGCTGGCGGTGGCTCTTGCAGCCAGGAGTCGGCACAAAATCTCAGCATGGACTCTGCCTCCAGCGGCTCCATGGATCCGCTGGGATCGGGCTCGCTGCCCGCCTCGCCGGCTGGCATCTCCCGCCAGCAGCTGATCAACTCCCCCTGTCCGATCTGCGGCGATAAGATCAGTGGCTTCCACTACGGCATCTTCTCCTGCGAGTCCTGCAAGGGTTTCTTCAAGCGCACCGTCCAGAATCGCAAGAATTATGTGTGCGTACGCGGCGGTCCCTGCCAGGTGAGCATTTCCACGCGCAAAAAATGCCCCGCCTGCCGGTTCGAGAAGTGCCTGCAAAAGGGCATGAAACTGGAGGCCATACGCGAGGATCGCACCCGTGGCGGTCGCTCCACCTATCAATGCTCCTACACGCTGCCCAATTCCATGTTGAGTCCGCTCTTGAGTCCCGATCAGGCGGCGGCAGCCGCTGCAGCAGCATCAGCGGCCAATCATCAGCACCAGCATCAGCACCAGCAACATCATCAGCATCAGCATCAACAGCAGAGACTCCAACAGCAGATGAATGGCTACTCGGGGTCCACATCGCTGCCAGCGAGTCCCAGTCTGGGGGGGGCATCCATCAAAACGGAGGAAAACGAGTCCAAGACGCTAAGAGCCAGTAGTATTCCAACGCTATTGCAGGTGGGTTTCTACACAGATATTTTCCATTAATGATCCCCCGATTAATTCTCTTTCTTTTGTTTTGGCCATAGGAAATCATGGATGTTGAACATCTTTGGCAGTACACCGATGCAGAGCTGGCCCGCATCAATCAGCCCTTGTCCGCCTTTGCCACTGGTGGCAGCTCCTCATCATCATCGTCGTCGTCGTCGTCTGTGGCATCAACGGCACACCAGAACCACCAACAGCAGCAGCAGCAGCAACAGCAACAGCAGCAGCATCAGCAGCAACAATTGACCAATCCACTGCTGGCCAGTGCTGGTCTCTCATCCAACGGCGAGAATGCCAATCCCGATCTGATTGCACACCTCTGCAATGTGGCCGATCATCGCCTCTATAAGATTGTCAAATGGTGCAAGAGTCTTCCCCTATTTAAGAACATTTCGGTGCGTAGTTTGGCATAGATTGGAGGCACTATAACTAATGGCTTTCGGCTTTACCCCTTTTCAGATTGATGATCAAATTTGTCTGCTCATCAATTCGTGGTGCGAACTGTTGCTCTTCTCGTGCTGTTTTCGGTCGATTGATACGCCCGGCGAGATAAAGATGTCACAAGGCAGAAAGATAACACTATCACAGGCCAAAACGAATGGTCTTCAGGTGTGTGGGCTTTTGTACTATAACAAATTATTATATTTATAGTTAATTTGTTGAGGAAGTTGCATATCAATAGGTGAAGATTTTATGGCTTAACTATAGATTTGAGGAATATTTTAGAATGTTTAGGAATGTCACAATCAAGCAATCAGAGCGAAAAGAGACTGCCAAGAACAAATCAAACAGAGAGAAACAATGAGACCCATAGAAAGTATTTTTTAATTCGAATATAAATAGATCATTAAATATTATAATAATAAGTACTGTTTTGGGTATATACGCCCAAGCATATTAATTTTTTACTTTATTTTACATTTTTCTGAATATATTTCTGATTAATTTATATCAACATTTTTTGGTTGCTCCGTTTTAAACGAATTTAAAGCTATTATATGAGTTTTTGCAATAACATTCCCACGAATATTAGCTGCCTCTTTTCTCTCCCGCTCTCTCTATTGTTCAATCAATCAGAGCTTTAATTCAGTAATTTCATTAATTTATTTATTTTTATGGACTGCTCATCTTATTATTATTTCAGTGCAAAGCGAAATCTTATGGGAATTCGTATAGTTTATGGATGCTTTCATTCGCTTTTATGTTTCGGAAATCAGTAAAAGTTATAGGGAAATATTATTTCTTCGTTTGTTAATTCTCCGTTAAACTTTCTATGCCCAGTATGAGTAGCTTTTCTTTGGCTTTAAAATGTATTTTGTTTTTTAACAACCCATAAAATGAATACCCATATCAACAATTGATTCCTTTTAGACCTGCATCGAACGCATGCTCAATCTGACGGATCATTTGAGGCGCCTGCGCGTGGATCGCTACGAATATGTCGCCATGAAGGTGATAGTGCTGCTGCAGTCAGGTAAGAGCCTCACACAAAACCCGCACATATCAAGCCTGATCTAATACTGATCCATCCAACAGATACCACAGAGCTGCATGAGGCGGTGAAAGTACGCGAGTGCCAGGAGAAGGCATTGCAGGGGCTGCAGGCCTACACGCTGGCCCACTATCCGGATACGCCCTCAAAGTTTGGGGAGCTGCTGCTGCGCATACCCGACCTGCAGCGCACCTGTCAGGTGAGTCTTTAACTGGAATACACTTTCAAGTAAGAGAAGATCTAATGCAAGTCCCCTGCTCCAACAGCTGGGCAAAGAAATGCTGACGATCAAGACACGCGATGGAGCTGATTTCAATTTGCTGATGGAGCTGTTGCGCGGAGAACATTGACAATTGTGGACAGCGACAACGTTTTACATATTTAGTATTAGATATATCTATTGTAGGGTTAAGTGCTCTACCTATAAGCTCTGAAAACATGTGCCTAAAAAAAACCCAAAGCCACAACAGCAGGCGTCGCCGCAAACGGGGGCCAACCCCGATCCCGAACCCTCCCTCAAGCATTGATTGAACCCCCAAAAACTATGCGCAAAATTGCCAAAATTTTTATACACGAATTATACATGTATTTTGATATATATATGATGAATGCCATATGCTGGGAGGCAATGTCGGAAATTGCCCCATGCGCGTGCACACCCCTGTTTGTTGCTGGCTTTTGAGTTTTCCAGTAAGAAGAAAAAAGATGAGAGAAAAAAGTATATAACGTTTTTCGCTATATATGAATGATATATATACCGATGACTTATGTATAGAGTAAACTAAAGCACACAATGGAAAATGAAAAGACTAAGAAAATTTATTTAAAAAATTACTATAAAGAACAACAACAACAAAAGGCAGTAACAACAAAAATGCAAAATCAAATTTAAATTTAGTTTAAGCAGCTAGCGACTTTTTTTATATACATAAAAAAAAACCTTATATAAAACTATTTTATAAATGAACAAAAAGAAATGCCAAAACCGATTTGGTTTGATACAAGGAGAATGAAGAAGAGCTGCTAGAATTTTCGATAGATATATATATGTATATGTATATATAGTATATATATGTATAACTCTTTGTATGTAAATGGAGTCCAAATGGATGTTCAATTTTTAAATGTTGTAGCATTTAGTTTTAGTGCAATTTCACACATGTCTACTTATAAACTACACATATATATATATATATATTTAGATATATGTCATAAACATATATCTTTAGCCAGATATGGCCACAAAACTATATACATACATGAAAAGAAAAAGACCACTCGAAAGAAATAATAATGCCAGGCAGGTGATTGTTCTTGCTGCCAGCCTGCAGGTTGGCAACCAACAGACAGACTATTCCAGTGATGCTATATGTTGCATAAAAAAATCAACACACAAACCCAAACCCCAAACCCAACCCAACACCCGTAACTACATAAATGAAATTTATATTTTTCCAGATTTTGCAGCTTAGTTTATTTCCTTTGTATTAGTTTCTCCATTATAATTATTATTATTTGTGTAATCTTTACTTAAATAGCTGAAGCAAATCCTGCAACAGGATTTAAAACATATAAAAGCGATAAAAAATAACTACATTAATTAATTTTTTGCATATGTATATCTTTAGTTAGATAGATATATGTATAGCCACATCCGGCATATGTATGTACATATATATATATATATATGCATGTGTGTGCGCGTGTGTGTGTGTATGTTAAATGTAAAAGAACTTCCAGACCCCCCCAACCCACCAGCAACAAAAAACAAAAGAAAACAAAAGAAAAGGAGATACCAATGTAATTCCAATTTAAATTAAATTCTGTATACCAGCAGAAGATGAGATGAGAGAGACAACAATCCGTAAATATACATTCTTCATAGTGAAGGGCAGAAGAAGGCTTAAAAGGAACTTGACGAGATAGAAAATGAGGGATAATCGTGATTGGGATGTTTGTGTATCAAAGGATCGTGAATATAAAATTATATCACAACTTTTTTTTATGATTTTAAAGGAATTTTTAGCGTCTGAAATTATTTTTCCTTTGTAATTTACTTTGTTTCATATTTTATATATTTTATTGTGTAATGAAGAACTTGAATTAATTTTTAATTATAAAAAAAAAACCCAGAGGGTATTTAAAGTTGATTTCTTTTAAAACCTAATCACGATTACCAAGAACAGACCGACCCAACCCGACCTTTTGCCCTTTCTTCCTGCTGCTGTCCGTAAAGGTAAACTAAAATGTTAATTTAATAACGAAAAGAAAGAAATGCTCCAACTAAATATCAATACAATGTTTACCCATAGTTAAATGCAATTATTTAAGCGACAAATCAAATCAAAATTAATTTATAATTTCCAGTAGCAAAAACAAAACTCAAACAAAGAAAACCACAAAAAACAAGGAGGGAGCAAGTTTAGGAGCCTTTCGATCCAATGATAGATATTTTTCTACTTAAGTACTCCGCTTAACTAGTGAAAAGTGTGCTCAAAATTAAGCATACATTAAAACAGAGAACAGAGTTTTACTTGTGTGTCTGATGTTTGGTTTTTTTTTGCTACTACGAGTATATTATATCCATAAACTCATCCCATAGTAAATATATCATTTCATATACTGTTTTTGTTTAAATGGAACATGATTGAAATTCAAGAATGGAACCAACAACAACAACAACAAAAACGTAAAATGTCAATGCAATATTTTGTAATAAAAAATAAAAACAAAAAAAAGATCCCACTACAAAAAGTGCGACAATTAAATCGTGTAAAATGTGAGATTTGTTATTTTGTGCATATAAATAATGGGTAAAAAGTGGGATATTTTTAACTGTTATGTAGAATTTTAATATTAATTATTAATTATTTTGTATTGGTTTTTTTAATTTCAGTAATTTGATGCCTGGAAGCTCGGTTCAAATTCTCCAAGCATTTTCTTTAGTGCAGACAACAGATCTGTGGAGAAGCCTTTGTGCCAGGAAAAATGCCAGACTTTCAAGTTAATAAAGAACACATAGAAGCTCATTCAGGATACAGACTGGGGCCCATCTACAAGAGAAAATTTAATTAAAGGCCAGCTGATGTTCCCAGATGAGTGTATATTTATTTTTGCTTATTTCAGTATATAAATATAATAGAGAGATATATTCCCCATCTGAGATAATATTCCTATTAATGCTTTATCTTTCCATAGCTATGGCGGTTTCTCTGCAACAATCTGGGCCTGAAGTGATGCCTGGCTACATGCAATAGCTCGTATATCCCCCGCAAGGATAGGAGTTGCAGTAGCCCGGACTAAGGAGAGACATTTAACGCATCAAATCGAGTTCAAAATATCAACAACAGATCAACAGATCAGTGTGGATTGCTCACCTGAGGCGGGCCAGTGGATACAAGCAGGCTGACTGACAGGGGGGTTGACCACCACCGCATGGCGTCTGGCGAGCACCACAGCATGTTGGCTGTTCCGTCGTGAAGCCGCAACCAAAGGAACAATCATTGCAGCAGGGTCCACAACCACCGCCAATCGGCAGATCTGCGCAGCGGCAACTATTCCCATTGGAAAAGTGTTGGAAATTGTTGCCGCGACACATAGCCGGCCGATAGTCGACGGCATACACCGATTTATCCTGCAGAATGTCGCATACATAGCCCATGCAGAAGCATTCATTGGTGTTGTTGCAGGCACTCTTTGGGGGGCTGCAACTGCTGGTGGGACAACAGCCCAAGCAAGGAGGTGGGAATCTCGGACAGCAGCCCTGACAGGGATCGCAACATTGTGCCGGGAAGTTCTTGCAATTGGCAAGGAAGCTCTCCACATCCACGCAATTGGTGCCAGCGTTTGGATTTCGCGGGCAATTGGAGCCAGGGTTTTGATTTTGAGCGTAATTCGTGCCACAGGAATCCGGACAGGCCAGACTTGTCTTAAAGCCGGTGGTGCTGGACCCCATTTGAGCACTTGAAGGCCTCTTCCTGCCTCTGGTCTTTGCCTTGGTGACACTCTTTGTGGAGGGATTGTCATACGCAAGAGCGCTGGCATTCATCGAGCCGCGATCGGTTTTTGGATAGGAACAATGCAAAGGCTGACCAGCAGCGTCTATTTGCCCTTCTTGCTTTGGCACTAACGAACGGCGGCTTGGTACCCCAAGTGCATTTGAATATGATTCTGGATTTGCATTGGATGCCCTACTGTAAGTCTTGTATGGATCGAATTGGTAATCATTCGGATCATAGGAATGCGTCTTCACCAATGATTCGTCGTGATAGTTAGTGTCAATGCTGAGGAAGTTTTTCAAATTGTTGTGCTCGTTGTAATGATCTGTTTTTCTGTGCGATTCGGCAAAGTCATGGCTGGGGTCTGGCTCCTGATAGACTGGACTTCGCTGCAGCAGGCCGCCATGGTAGACAGGATCCTGTTCCGAGTCGGCATAGTTGGGGTTTCGTTGCAATTTGGGCAAGCCGCCATAGTAGACAGGCTTTTGCTGTGGCGACGACTCGGGATAGTCGGCGTTTTCCAGCGATTTGGGTGAGCCTCCGCGGTAGGGTTCCGCTTCGGCAAAGTGTTGGTTATCTCGAGTTGAAGGATAGACAGGGTTGTCTCGAGATCCGCGATAGACAGGGTCATCTTGAGATCCGCGATGGACAGCGTCATCTTGTGTTTCGCGACAGACAGGGTCATCTTGCGGTTCGCAATAGACAGGGTCATTTTGCGGTTCGCGATAGACAGGTTCATCTTGGGTTTCGCGATAGACAGGGTCATCTTGCGGTTCGCGATAGACAGGGTCATCTTGCGGTTCGCGATAGACAGGGTCATCTTGCGGTTCGCGATAGACAGGGTCATCTTGGGTTTCGCGATAGACAGGTTCATCTTGCGGTTCGCGATAGACAGGGTCAGCTTGAGGTCCGCCAAAGACAGCGTCATCTTGATTTCCGCGATAGACAGGGTCATCTTGAGTTCCGCGATAGACATCTGGTTCTATATATACCTGGTTCTGTTCTAGTCTCGCAAAGCTTTCGGTTTCTGAACCTGTGGCATAGCATGACTTGTCTTTTCTGCAACCAGCTATTGGAGACACAAGTGTTGGCTATGGGGTACTCCCTTAGATCTATCCCACGTTCCACTTACCTTTACATTTATATGATTTGCATTGGGTATTCGAATATTTACTAAATGGATTGCGCCATGAAAATTTTGGTTCTGCATATACCCGGTTCTGTTCTGGTCTCGCAAAGCTTTCGGTTTCTGAACCTGTGGCATAGCATGACTTGTCTTTTCTGCAACCAGCTATTGGAGACACAAGTGTTGGCTATGGGGTATACCTCAGATCTATCCCACGTTCCACTTACCTTTACACTTATATGATTTGCATTGGGTATTCGAATATTTACTAAATGGATTGCGCCCTGAAGCAATGCGCTGTTGGGCATTGGGCACATCCTTTGCTTGATTATCGTCGAGGCTGGAGCTGCTGCTCACGGATTTCGTACCCTTGTAGAGCTCCTGCACAGCATTGTCATGCCCCAGGCCCTGGATGGTTGTTGTAGAACCTTCATGGTGGTTTAATGTTAAATTTAATATGCTAGTGCTTGGTCCTATAACTGTGCTAAAATCAACAGGCTGCCATTTGGAAGGTGTGCAGTTGCTGTGCTGGCTCACTGCTGCAGCTTCGCCACCCTGATTGCCGTTTTGATTGCTTAAATCTTCGGCTTGTCTGTTTCTCAAAATGGATGTTGGTTTTTTTTGTGGTATCGGAGATACTGGTGCAGGTCTATAGGTCTTGTGTATGTCATCGGTGGTTTTGATTGTCCTCAGCATATGAATGACCGCAGCATATTCCTCAGGGCTGAGCGCAATGTGGTGATTGGAAACCGCCATTGCCATTGCAGTTTTGCCTTTCAGCTTTCAGCCACATGCCGCACACACACACAAAACAGGAACAATTAAATTACTACAAAATTTTGGGGCTTGGGGCTTTGCTTCGAAATAATGAGAATTTGCAGGAATGGTTTACTATGATTTATAGTATCAGCTTTTCTTTAACAAAGTTCTCGGAACAGTTGAGATGCACAAAGAGCACCGAGGCCGCCAGACGCGCCTGCAGCTCCTGCTGGCTCAGATCGTGCGACCATTCGACGCGTCCCCAGAACTTTATCTGATACTCCTCCTCCAGGCGCGCGAGTGCCACTGCCTTTTCCACGGGCAGCATTTGCTCTATGACGGCACAGGCCAGGATAATTGACTTCAATGTATCCACAGCATATACAAAACCTAAGCGAATGAGATCACATATCAATGCAGTTTTACCCACACATACGTATTTGCGGAGCTTACCGTGCAGCGTATCCAAGCTGTAGGATTGAAAATGTTTGGCCACCTTCACCTTATCCGCATCGCTTATGTGGGGCGGTGTTATGTTCATTGTTTTCTGTAGATTCGTCTCGAAACGCTGATTGAACCAGTCAATCACGGGATCCCATTCGTTTTTCTGCAAATCCTTTAGATCTTGCTCATCCTGAAAGCATTCCAATTGTTAGCCACAACCGTGGAATTTTCTGCCTGTAATCTTACATCATATTGAAAGAGCACCGTATCGGTGGGCATATAGTTCAACAGATAGTTGACCATATCCAGTTTGTTCAGATTATTGGGATTATCGATGGCTGTGAAGCACAGCGCCGATATGTGCATGCGCGACCTCTCGATGTGCTCCTTCTGGCCGTCGAATTCCGTGGCCACGGCAATGGCCAGCGGTTCGCTTTTCACCGTGAATGGTGCGCCCTTTGGTGTCTTTAGCTTTCTGTGATCCAGCACCACCTCGTAGCCACCGTCAGTGCACAGCACAGAGGTCTTCTTGTAGAATCTTTTGGGCGGCGCAGCTGCAAACAAGTGCCGTGCCGGGCTCGGCTCTGTTATGAAATATGCTCCGAGAGTGTTTTGCTGCTACTTACCGTATTGCCGCACTGTGGTCAAGGCGGGCACTTGCCATTTGGTGGATGCGCCCACTCGTAGTGCTCTAAGTGCATTTGACATTAGTTTTGTATTCATTTCTATTTAAAATAAGCGTTTTAAAGCGTTTTAACTTGATTTTAGTGGTGACTATCGAGAAATGCCTATCGGTAATGGCCTAGTACTGTGTAACGAGATAGAGCGCGCGATAGTATACAAATAAATGTACAGCGCCACCTGGCGTATGTAGTGATAGTTGCATCGATATTTTTATCGAACTCATACTTGAAACACAAAAATGAGTTTGAGAGGCGTTAAAACACAAAACAAGGAATAAATTGTTCAGTACAACAACGGCTTTTAAAAATTCTCTCTTTTGGTCTCTTTTTCGAGATTTCATTCGCTCTTTTCGTGGTGACTTCCCTAACTAAATGATTCATTTTCACACCCACAGTAAATGTTCTACTCTTTTTATTGAGTTGTGCGTTTCACACTACTTATAATATGATCGAAATCCACAATCAAAAAGCCATCTCACAGATAAAGTCATGAGACTGACTGCATGGTACGTCGTTCATCCAACCTTCCTTGCCATTTAGGTATGTATTTAGCTCGACGCAACGCTCACCGTTCCCAAAGTTATTGGGTTCGTTTTCGTGCCAGTGGAAGAAGGTTCCCTGGATACCAGTAGTGGCCGAAATATACTCGCCTTCTGTTTCTATATCGTTCAGATCTATCCAATAGATGTGGTCCGAATCCAGAAACCTACGGAGTGCCTTCAACTCATCCTCGCTTTGCAGACTCACCAAATGGGCCCCCATTTCATGGCAGTTATCGAGGGCACCCTGCCAGTTCGTTCTTTCATCCATTTTATCTTCTATATAATAGTATTTCGTACCTATTTTTTTGAAGAGATCGATATTTTTAAGTTCTGTTTCTATTTCTTTACGATCGGATGCCTGTTGCAGCTCTAATTTCTGACATTTTTCGTCCAATTTATTAAATTTTTCCTGTGAGCTCTTTTCCAGCTCCTGCAGAGTCTCTATCTGTTCGACCATTTCTTGCCGCACGGCTGCCACTTGTAGCTCTAATTCCTGAGATTTTGCCGTTGATCTTTTTTCTAAATCCTGCTGGATTGCCAAACTCTCCAACTTTTCGTCCATTAGGGCTAACTTCGAGAGTATGTCAGCCGGTTGCTTGGCCTCACAGGACTCCACTCGCTTTTGCAGGATGGCGAGGTACTCCAGGACCGGTTTCACAGCTCCGTAACAGTAGCCTCCGCACTCGTGTTGAGATTCATCCATCTATAAGAAAGCCAGGCAATGTTCTTAGAATTTTTGCAATCAATAAACGGAATATTTCACTCACCTCACAATGCTGGGACAGAGATCGCCCAAAGGTTATCGCCAAAAATATGAAAACAATGGAACACCGCATTGATGTTGCTACTCTGAATAGAATCCAAAAAAGAACTGGCATTCGCAGAGTTTCGTAGCGGTATTTATACTTCCGTTCCTTCCGTTGTGAACTGATAATAAATTAAAATTGCACGCAATTAAGAAATAAAATCAGACGAATTATTTTAATTATTTATTGATTACATAATCCATAAGTATATTATTATTATTATAAGCATATTAAATTAGGTTTAAAAGGCATTCGGCTATGATCCAGCTAGTTTATCTTCACCGAGCCCAATATACGTGTCACTGAGAAGGGAAAGAACAACTCGATCAACGAGGGCTATTGCACTACCGCCGTGATTTTCAGGAAGAAACAAAACAGAGAGATGATGAAATGTTTGTCATCCATGCAATGATCGATTTTATGAACTGTTTTTGTATTGTGAGCAGAAATTGTCACTAAATTTTAAATCCATTTCATTTTATTTTGCAGTTTATGGCATTTCTGCAGATAACAAACAGGATCGAGATATATATAGAGGAATCTAATCTTGGTCAAAAATAAGGAGGTTTCTAAGCAGTTTAACAGGGTATACAAAGTGCCATACTCCACAAATAAGTCGTTGCAATGTAGCGAACGTGTAGCTACTGTGTAGTTATCGTGTAGTTTCCATGTAAAAATGGAACATTTTTGTTGACCTTCTTTTCTTAAACCTTATTTAATAAGTAATCCAAAGGGAGTACTAAAAATTGTCCAGACTGTAGAAAATTGATTCGTCTATTGGATATAATTTTTTTTTTAGCTGTTGTAGGCCTAACTAGCTAGTAATTATAAATCGAATATCAAAATTGATTACGATATAGTTACGGTATATTTGGGTATATTTTTGAGGGTCAAACGGAAGATACTAGAAATATATAAAAAGGGACCATATATTTGAGTTTGGCTAAAGGTTTCATTTTCAAATTTCGGAATTTCAAATTTTCAATTATCCGGTGAAGATTATATATATATATATAGTATAGTATAGTATACAGTAGTAGTAGATGATTTGTATGGGAAAAATTTCAGCAACATGGGGAAATGAATTAGCAGCATTGTTCTGCAACTTTGGCACGATATAAGCAACAAGTCTGAATACCTTGGGAAAATGGATATTATGGACTTGAGATATTGTTTGTAATTTCAGGCTCCAATTAATGCAGAAACTACTCATTCTCTGTTTTCAAGATATTAACGAAATAGGGTATTACGGGTAATAGGTATTAGAACCGGGATAAATGTATATATAAAACACAAACATGTGCATTAATATGTAAAAAACATGTCAATCTAGGATAAAATCATAATTAATGTTTCAATGGAGGTAAGGTTAGATAAGGTATACAAAAGCCCATACGCATAGAAGTAACTATGTTGACCAGCAACACTGACGTCACATTTAGTCAACATTTTCGTTTTATGCTTTTGCCGTTTTTGTTTGAACCTTATTATGTAAAAAATGCAATAAACAGGAGTTTTATAAACTAGCTTATCTTGTAGAAACTGGATGTATCTATCGGATAAAATTATTTGCTTAGGGCTGAGTTGGCTAACTAACTAGTAATATTAAACCGAATATCAAAATTATGGAATACGATTTCAATCAATAAAATTGAACGTTAACCCATTGTCGACCAGAGGGGTATTTAATATTTCCACGAAATTTATATAACTTTAACATATTTTACGCATTACAGGTGAAAGATGTCCTTGATCATTTTTGTTTTTTAAGTAAAGAGGAGGATGGAGCTACAAGGATCCTAAACAAAAAGTATTATTTTCCGCGGTATAATAAAGGGTGCTCGACTTTTTAAATAAAGAGGTGTTAAGGGGGTTAAGTCTCGTTTTATCGCCGCCCTGGTTTTCTGCCCTGGCTATGGAAATACAAACTTGAAAACAAAACAAGAAAATATACTGAAGTATCTGGTCAAAGCGGACTCATCGTCGTGCGACCATCCAATTTCGCGGCAGCGATTAAATACCAAAAAAAAAAGAAATAAAACATTTCGTCGTGGTCGTCGGTCGTCGGTCGTGGGTGGCGCCTACAATTCGTTTCTGTGGTCAATTAAATAGCAAAAGTCGAGTGAAATCGTCTGCTAAAACTAATAAAATACTTAATACAGTGACTAAAACATAAGTAATCCGGGGTTTTTGTGGCCTTTTTGGTAAGAAGCAGCTGAATGCAGCGTCGCAGCACAGTGTGTTGTGTCCCCCGTGCGTTGGTGTTTGTGCCGAGCCTTTTCACCAGAAAAATGTTAATTAAAGTGCTGACATCGAAACAAGCCTAGAATTCTATACTATGCAAAAAAGTGTAGCCAGAAAATGTTAGCAAGTGCGAAGCAGGAAAAACCAAATTGCGTTTTCGTTGCATGAGGGGGAGGGTGAAGAAGGGTTCATCTGCCACTCTCTCACTCACACTCTTTCATTCATTCTGCCCCTGCCTCGCTCTCTCTCCGCACTAAACGTAAAGTGGAAGTGGAAAAACCAGCAACAAAAACAACAATAACGAAAACAAGAGAAGCGTGTGGCTGTGGCTGTAATCTTTTATTTTGGCAACTGTTTAAATTTTTATCAATTAAAATCTAACTTTTGTTTGAATACGACAAAAAGTGTCTAAAATACTATGCAAAAACAACAACAAAACGTACATACGACGCCCAAACGGGGGAAGAGAGAACGAGAAAGAGAGAGCAGAAGCAGCAGCAGCAGCAGTAGCGCTGCCACCTTGTTTGATTTTTATGCTCATTGAGAAGTGGAATTGACCTACGCTTGCAGAAAGAGCACAATTATTTTGATTAGCAGTTTGCTAATATGAATGAAAAATGGTCCATAGCGAATATATATTCCTGTTCTGTTCATAATGAACCAACCATATGGTCCTGTCCGTCTGCCTCTCTTATTCTATGCAAATTAATTCCTCTAGTGGTCACGACCTCAAGAACAATAGTTCTGGTAGGGCATCAACGCTGCGGCGTCTGCAGATTACTTTTCGTTTCTTGTTGCTGTTTCTATTGCATTGCATTTTTAATTTGCGTCCCCTTCTTCCTGCTGTTGTTGTTGTTGTTGCTGCTGTTTTTGTTTGTGCAAAATACAAAAAGAGTAGTGTGTTTTAATATTTGATTTCTGTTTGTCTACGTTTCGCCCTCGCCATTCAATCAGCTGCTCGTAGCGACAACGTTTCCGCCCACAAAACGGGAATTGTTCGTGTTTCGTCTCTTTCGCATACAAGGTAAGTTTTTGCACAAATAACCGTAATTGTAATTATACCATGTGAAGGGGAAAGGGTAATAATGGGTCTTGTCAAATGAGAGAGGAAGTGCTGAGGGAGATTAATACATATACGATTGCTGGAAAGGTTCTGAAAGGTTTTTGTAATGCTTAAAATAATATTTCTAAGCTATTTTACTCAACACAGCCATATTTTGTAATCAGTTTTATCATAAAATACGGATTAACTCATCTTTTTGTGGTCTCCCCCACCTTCGTGTATCTCTTTTAACATGGAAATTTATATTCAAAACCCCATCCCATGGGAGCTTCTTCCGAGATGCGGAGGCTAATTTGTTATGCTTGGCAAATCTGCAGAGCATATCCACGCGTCACATATGCGATGAGGCGGCACTCAATCCTGGGACTTAACCCTGTAAAATATGTTCATCGGACGCGTTGGCTAAAAATAGCGCAGCAACAGCAGTGGGAAGAGAGGGAAGTGTAAGCCTCAGCTGGTTTTTTTTTGGCCTGCTCTAAAGCCCTTCCATCGTTGGGTTTTTTTTGGCCTGCTCTACAGCCCTTCCTTTGATGGGCGGCCCCTTTTGCCTTGGGGCCCTGTCTGAGCCTCTAAGCCCGTAATGAGCAATTCCATGAAAGTACGAGGCAAACGAGCATTTCAATTTTCGTGCACCCAAAACGGTTGCCAAGTGCGAAAAATGTTTGCCATAATCAAATCAAATCAAATCAGCGCCAATCAGAGGGATGGCAACCCTGAAATTGCTCGCTCGGGATTGGAACTTTCCGTGTGCTGGTGGAGGAGAGGAATGTGGAGGATTGGGATGCTCGGTATTCGTAATGATGGTGCGGGGTTCTAATGAGGATGCATTCAATTAGATTCATATTTTTTCCACAATGCATATGTGGGCTGGGTGCCAACGAACATATACTACATACGGGCCCCCCACCCCCGCCCCGCCCCCCCCCCCCGCACGAAACCCGGGCCCCCCCCCCCCGCCCGCAAACCCGCCCCCATAAAACAAACGGCCCCAACGGCACCCCCCCGCCGCGGACCAGGCGGGCCCGCCGCCGGCCCCCGCCCCGGCTGACATTCCGCGGCCCCCCCCGGGGGCTGCGGCCCGCCCCCCCGGCCCCCCGGCGGCCCGCCGGCCCAAGGGCCCCCCCCCCCCCCGACCTCCCGAACGCGCCTCCCGAAACGCCGCCCCCCCCCCCCCCAAACAAACCATAGGTAACAAAAAAAACAAACAACAGGCCAAACCCCGCCACACCCCCCCTCCCCACCCCGGCGCACTAACCAAAATAAGCACCCAGAAGCATGGCCCCCATTATACCGGCTGTATATAAAGAGAGTTTTGTGTTTTAAGTATTTGTATATTATATTAAATGGAAATTTAAGTTGGAATTTAGATAAGTTATGTGGTTTAGATTGGAAATAGGAGAGGGAGTAGAGTGTCAAATGATTTTGGAGATGGAATTGGCTTAAAAAAATATGATAAAAGATAAAAGAGATGATAGAAACTTTGTCCAAAAAATAGTAGAGTGTGCATAAATTGTATTTGCAGTAATTTTAATAATATCTTTGACTTAGGGCCTTTCCATGCTATTTTTTAGTTAACCTGTTTCAAACGAATTTTCTTGCTTTTTGCCGGAAAAGATTAATTTGTGGACCCCCACAGCCTTGGACACGATGTGCATTCAATTGTTGCAATTAAATTGCTTAATTATTTTGCGCTCAAATGACAAAAGAGAATTGCCGTTACACAGATACAGATACTTTTGATTGAACAAAGGCTGCAGTACGAGTATTAATTCCTTTTCGACTAATGAGCGAGTGGGTTCAAAGCACTCGGGAGCCCAGCCAACCCAATTCCCAGGGCTAGTTAGGCAGAGAAGGAATCATAGAAGAAAGATCTATAGGAAATACAGAGAGCAAACAGAGAGAAAGAGACTTAGAACAGAGAAAAGAGAAAAGAGAGAGAGAGAGAGAGGAGGTAGATCTCACCGAACCAGTTGGACAGCATTTGGCGATTTGAATGTCGCGTTAGAAGATGGAAAGCAAACCCCCAAACAATTCTCTTTTTATGAGCTCGCAATGTATCCAATGTATCTGAGTATCTTTCACTGCGTTGTGTAGTTGTATCTGTAGCTGTAGCTGTGTGCAATTCAAGTTCAAAGCGCCTTCGCTGAAAGAAACTTGCCAAAACCCCAAACGAGATACAAAAGACTGAGAGAAGAGAATTGAGGGAGAAACAGACACAGGAAATACACAAAAGAACAGCTGGAACATGTCTCTGCTATAAAGAAAAAATACAGATACAGATACTTGTTGGATATTTGCTTTCTTTTCCATCTTTATTTATTTATTTTTTTTTTGCAGAAAATCTTTTTTTTCTTTTGTGAAATTTTCTGTATTTCGTTGATTTGTGATGGAAACCAAAAAAAATATATATATTAAAATATAACCAATATAAAGTACGGCACGGTCTTGGGGTAAAGCGTGGGCGTGGATTGTTATGATAATTGCACAAGTGGCTTTCTTTTCTGTCGATTGTTTGGATGAAATATACATACATACATATATATTTTATATGCAAATTTAAGGCAATTCATATAAAGAGAAATGTATTTCAGGTGAAATGTTTTAATTCAAAGAAATTTGGATCAGGGGAAATATATTTAAATTAATAAAATGTTTCCATAGAAATTTTATTCAAATAATTTGATTTATTTTTAGAGGTTTCTTTTACCCATTGCGAAAGCTTTAAAACTATATTTTATTGTATAATTATTGAATGTGAATTTAAACAAAGAACTATCAAAAATAGAATGCAAAAAAATATTTTATTCCCAGGGATTTCTATATCAAGTTTTATTTCTAAAGATTTCCTTAATAAAATGATACTAAAACAAGGTTTATTCTTGCTTTATAAACAGGCTTAATCCCAATCTCTTGCTAAACCAATCTCTAGTCCTTATGCAAGTGCCTCTTTATCATCTCTTTTTGTTTCTGCTTCTTGTCTTTATATTTTTTCCCGCATTCATTCCTTTGTAGGTCTTTCCCTACACCTGCACCTTCTCCACATAGTATGTAGTAGGGCACTCTTTCATTATCACCCAAGACCTACATTAATCGTTGCGCTATCATCATCATCATTATGTACGCCCCGAAACCACACACACACACACAGATCATCTTTTTGCCTGTGGCATGTGGAAAAAGTGTTTCCGACTTCCGTATAAATGTTACATTTTTCCTTCTTTCTGCTCTCTCTGCCTCTGTGCCGCCTCTGTGCCTGAAAGGCAAAAACAAGTCACTTGGCATTTCCTGACCATCAAGGAAACCCACCCAAAGGCACTACACTACGCACCATTCAAAGCTCCTATTAACCAACAGAAAAACCACACCGAACCACCTAAAACCACCCCAAACAACTGCAAACAACCAACTAAAGGAACCAACAACTTATTGATTTTCTACAACAACTTTGTGATATTTAAACAACAAATTAGTTGAGTTTTTCCATCGTGTGCCGGCCACGCGTCAAATGAGTTTTTCTTCGCGGGGGGGTAGAGCGTCACACCATTCCACTTACACTCCACCAATTTCTCTCGATTCACCTGTGGGCGACACGCCTCGTTTGGTTCCTGGAATTGACGCGTGCCACACGGACAGGTGAAACAACTTTCGGGGGTTGACATATAATTACATAAAAAAAAAAAAAACTGAAAATACAAGAGAATTTCGAACAAGAAAATTGAATGAAGTGGGAGATACATATGTAGCAGGCAGTGGCCATCCCGTGGGGGTCTGTTCTGTGGTATCCGCAGTAAAATCAATTATTTTTGTTTTGTGGGTCAACATTCCTCCTCCTCCTTCTCCTCCTCCTCCTCATCCCCCGGCCTTCTCCTTCTCAATTTTCTGTTACGTTTCGTTGAACATTCTCCCCATTTTCTCTACCTTTTAAAAGTTTACATCATTTCATTAAAAAAAAAAGGGGGCGCTGAACTTTAAGACCGTTTACACAGCACTACAAGACAGACAGAAAGACGAGAAGCCACGCCACTCCTCGAAGTCCTACACTCAGCATCTAATTTGCATATTTGCACACTTCCTGGCCGCCTTTCATTCGGTTTTGGTATTTTGTGTGCCCTAAAAGAGAGAGACGTTTTTTTTTTGGGTTTAAGCAAAGACTAGCAAACGGAGAAAAGGAAGAATTTCTCGAACGAAAAGGGTATTCACCATTCACTTCCAGGGTGGGTATCCACTATCTCTGATCTCCAATGTTAGCTTTCTTCCTTATATCTGCCCATAAACAAGATCACTCTTACAGGGTATCACTAACCTCGTTCTCTTTAAAATTTGCTTAACATTCGTGTTTTTTTTTTTCTTCTCGTATTTCATTGCATTTTTGTGTTGATTTCAGTATATTTTTAGACTTTTGCGGTTGATAAAAATGTACTTTCAAAGAGTGGGAGGGAGAGAGTAATACCCACTGAGAGTAAAAGGGAGAGAGAAATACCTACAGAGAGTGGGAGTGCAGTGGGAGGAAGAGGGAAAAATACTTTCGGCGAGTGGGAGGAGGCTGGCTCTTCGACTACTTCTTCCGCTTGTCGGCGGCGGCGTTACGCTTCGCTTGTGGGGTGTGAGGAGGCAGGCAGATATGCGCGGGTGGTCAGTGGTTGAGAGGGAGGAGGCGGAGGAAGGGGGACGCGTGCTAGGGCCTCTGGTTCCGGTCCAGAAGTGAGGAGGGGAACACCACTATTATATCATTTTTATTTTAGTTGGCAGTTATTTCATCATGCGGTTTTTGTGGGGGGTTTGATGATGTCTAAAGAACTTTTTCCGTAGAAAGAAAGGGGAAAAAATGGTTATTTCTTTGCTTTCTATGTTTTATTTTTCTTTACTGAAGGTTTATAAACTTTGAAACTTTGCTAGTTCTATAGATTAAAAACTGAAAAACGGAATAGTAGTTGCCTTTACAAAACCTCTCTAATATAGCA